CAGGGCTTTATCATAACAAGCTGCATGTGTGGAAAGGGCTTTATGAAAGAAACAAACAGCTGTGCAACATTTACTGAGAAGCATTCCTAACACGACAATGTTAAATGATGTCAGTCGGACCAAGTGTTTCACACTGAGCTGTGTGTGTGTGTGTGTGTGTGCGTGTGTGCGTGTGTGTGTGTGTGTGCGTGTGTGTGTGTGTGCGTGCGTGCGTGCGCGCAAGCGAGCAGTGTGTTGCCATCACAGTGAAACCAGTGCTAACATGCTGTGCTAAGAAGAGCCTCGCCTGCTGCTGTAGCACCCTGTGTAGCTCACCGGTACCAGACAGTATCTGTCTGCTTCCCCACATCTGTCTTAATGACCACAACAAACAAACAAACTAATGGAACAGAGCAGATCAAGTGTCGCTTGATCTGTATTACAGGCTGGAGCAGGGTTTGGGAACATCTGCCAGGACAGATGTGTTTCTGGCCCAGAATAGAATTGCGCACACACACACACACACACACACACACACACACACACACACACTGTAGACCAATCATGTTTTCTTTCCTAAAAAGGCTTGAGTCACTTTTTTTACGCCTGAGTTTGTATCTTACATTATAAATATTATTATTATTATTATTATTATTATTATTATTATTGTTGTTGTTGTGAGTGTCTGATGATGATGATGATGATGGCAGGATGATGATGATTATTTATCACGAGCTGGTTCTATGTACATTTTTTTTAACGATCATTGATGGTTGCATTCAGGTAAATATGATACAAAGATCCTGGTGATCAAGAGAGAAATCAAGAGTTGTATCTTCAATGCTGCTTTTACCTTGTTATTATTTTATTATAATTATTATTGTTATAATTATTATTATTTGTAATGGTGGTGTTTTAACCTCCTGTTTTCATCAGTTAGGATGGAGAGAGAAGGACCGTTCAGAGAAGTAGTGGAATGTACTAACAGACGGTGCAGTTGAGATGAAATGTGAATAAAAGCCAAGTGAATTTGAATAATGTCTCTAAAGTGTACCCTGTGTTTCTTCTTCTTCATTTCCCTTCAACCTGAATAGATTTAACACTAGGCCTGAGCCTTATTTGTGTCCAAACACAACACTGCTGATATTTTAAAATACATCTGACACTAACAAAGTAGTCCAAGCTGCAGCAAGATGCAGAAAGTCCTGATAATTGAGCTGGGAGGGACTCTTTTTCAGCATGTTTAAATGTGCCTGAGGAGCGTTTAATATGCCGAGGGACACCTTGGCAAGGATATAGGGTCGTAAAGTATTTGGCTGTAAGCTCTCCTGATTGTCAAGTGTGCAGTTTCCAGTTCAAGTGCTAATGCTCCGCTCATCAGCTGCTGCGGCTGTAAATACAGCTCACACTCACACTCAGCAAGGAAGATATTGACACTTTGAAAGACTACAAGTGAAAACTGCAGGGGTCTGCAGAGAGGAGAAACAGACATCAGAAGAGACCTGATGTGGACGTAGAGTTCTTGTTTCCTCTGCACAAAGTGGGGAACACACTCCAAACACACACACACACAGACACAAACACAGTGATTTGTGAGAGATCAATTGCAGACAGACCGTGTAATGAAGCTCCTGCATCTCTGGGATGGATTTACACACACACCCACACACACACACAAACGCATACACACATGCACATACAAACACACACAAACAGTCTGCACACAGTCTGATCGTTCTTATGTCTCCCAATAAGAACTGTTCCCAAAATTTGTCTTCCAAGAAATGTTTTTAACATAAATCTTCTCAAGGTAACAATGTGAATTCAAAGCCATAAGACTTAACAAGGGTTGTTACATCTATAACAATCATTTATTTGTGTCTTAAATAAAATAATGTGCTTAAAATAGATTTTACACAGCCACAACATCAACAGCACCGTCATCCAACAATCAATCAAACAGGTGAATGTCAAATTAACATGAAGAGCAAAGTCTTTGCTAGGAAGTTTGTATTGTAACTGAAAGAATATAATCTCATTTAAGTCTCTTACTGTAATTTAACACTTAAAAATCCCTTAACATGATGAATAGATTTAATGACTGCTCAAAGAACCTTTCATATAAAATCATCAGTAACTAGCAAAAGAACGTTCATGCTGCTCACACTTTGTGGACATGGTGTTACATATATATATATATATATATATATATATATATAATTAGAAAGTGAAGGGTCAAAGGTCAGTACAAAGAAAGCAGTCAATGATGAATACAATAAGCAACCAACCATCTGAAATATCATACCTGAGATCTGAAAGATTCACTGAAGAGTGTATTAATGTTCAAGATGAAGGGGAGTCAGTTGCGCTGGTGGAGCATTGGTTAGTGCGCGCACCCCATGAATGGAGGCTGTAGTCTTCCAAGCGGGCAGCCCAGGTTAAAATCCCACCTGTGGCTCCTTTCCTGCATGTCATTCCTCACTCTCTCTCCCTGATCTCCAACTCTATCCACTGACCTATCTCTTCATTAAAGGCACAAAAAGCCCAAAAATAAATCTTTTAAGAAAAAGAAAAGATGAAGGCGAGTCAACATTGAGCTCGCTGTGGCCAAATCTTCACTCTGATGTTGTAAAGGTCTGAAGAGAAAGTTGACATATCTCTGGTTAAAATTAAGAACTAAACTTAAATCCAATTCAGAGATTAACAATTAATTAATCAATCAAACTTTATTTGTAGAGCTCTTTTGATACAATGCTGTATCACAAAGTGCTTCTCTTTATAAGAGAAGGAAGGACCGATAGAGTGACTTCATGTTCATGATCGAACACGTGGAGCTCATCAGTTAAAAAACGCACATTAAGCTACTAATTAGCCGATTGTATTTCTTCATCCTCGGGGAGCGTCTGAGTGAAGAGTCAGCAGTGTGAGAGCAGGAGGCCAGAGCGAAGCTGCTTCACACTTTATCTTCACAAACACCCGGCGATAAACGACGGTCAATTAAAGGCTTTGTTCCATCGATTGAAAATACACACACTGAAGTTAATACAAAAGCAGTTATTTATTGATTTTTAACTTAAGGATTCTTCAAAACAGGAAATACTTGAAATACATGTCAGTGCAATGAAAAGACTAACCATTGTGTGAAATACACATGTTCAAATAAAGTAGAATAAACATAGTTCCTAAAGATTTGTCCTCTATTTTTGTCAAGTTTTTTTTTACTTGAGATTGTGTTTACTTCCCTTTAGATTTATTTTTTGGGCCTTTTCCGAACAGTGGAACATCGAGGAGAGAGATTTGGGAGAGACAACTTGGGAAAGGGGCTGAAGGTCAGAGAGGAACTCAGGTCACCTTCTATGAGGACTACATCCTCTGTACACTAAGTGACCATCATAACTGCTAAGACCACCGATACCCCAATCTGCCTTTGAAGAAAAGCAGAAAATTAAATATCATTACAATCTGCAAAGCTGCCATCTTTATGTCCAAAACCCTGAAGATGACTTTTAAAAACTAAAACTGTAACGCGACTTGAATACACAACATGTTTATTTCATTTCAGATATATAATGCAGTGAATGCATTTACTCATCAAAGCTAATATTTGATCTTTTAGGGACTCTTAATCATTCCAACAGCACGGTTCAGCAATAGAAACAAATTGAATGATCGACTATCACCCTGTTACAGTAACTCAAAAATGAAATTGATATTGTCCTATACAAGTTAAAACAAACACATTTTCCCACATTATTTGAGTACTCAATTTGAGACCTGTTTGCCTCTGATGATAATGCATTTTAAAATAAAGCCTGTTATCCAAAACGCTCTTAATCACTCCTGCTTTTAAGCTCTCATCCTCATTTAATTGAGCATTCGATTTCTTGATCTTAAAATAAATGATATTTATGTTATTGCATCTGTGACAGACCTCACCATGTTTGTTGTTTTCCTCACACCACCCACATCACTCTGATAAACAATCCAGACACCCACAGTGGACTTGTTTCTTTATGGCTCTGTTGGCCAAACTGTTGCGAAATGTGACATCATCAAATGTGTCAGTGTGTATTTTACCACCACCTTCAGTGTATTACAAGAACTCTCTTTCAATAATGCACTAGTTTTTATAAACATATTTGTAATATGTTTTTCCACTGTGGGTCTGATGCTGTCCTCTTTTTCTTTTTTCATCATTCCTACTCAGAGACTCAAGTCATCACCGATAATGTCATCTCGTAACTTTGACTGATGATCCATGTGCACTAAATCTATCACTAGACACAGAATCCTGAATTACATAATCAGATGTATGAATATTTTTTGCTGAAAATCTAAATGAGAAAATGACTGAGTCTAAAGATATTTATGTCTTATAACCCGAGAATTAATGATCTAATTTACTTGATGCCAAGACTTAAAGATTGACCACTTGTTGGCCTGATGTTTTTACACTTCACTTTTGTTATGAATGAAGTTCTTAAGTAAAGTAGAGAGTAGGTCTACTTAAATTGGAGATTTATACTTTCAGATTTCATCAGAGGAGCCTTCAGCATCCTCACAGGAGGGAACTGATCCAAAACTTTAAAATAAATAACAAATGATAAGAATTCTTGAAACAAATGGTGTACTTTGAGGTAGATTTCATTTTCATTATGTTGATTTCCACCATCTAACTATATAAATCTTTTATTTTTCACCTGTCACAGATCTCACACTTACACATACAGTACCGTGTTGCATATTCATTTTGTCACTTATTTAAAGGTGATGACTTGAGACCAAATGCTTTTAAGTAAAATTGCCTGATCCTCATGCAGTCCTGCAGGGGAACCTTTGGATAAACTCTGGCTGCACTCTAAAATACACACTTTTCCCTTTCTTTGTGCTCATGCTGCTCTCTATATGTTTATTATGTAAACACATAAATCAACCAGTCAGCATTCTCCAACATGTGATGAATGCACGCAGCTTTGCAAACCTCCACATTGTTTTGTGCACAAAGAAGACAGAGAGTGGTGTAGAGTCTAAAACAAGTCTTTATTGGTCAATATACAGAGAGCAGTGGGATGACCACTAAAGAAAGGGATATCCCAACTGTTTTGTTTACAAAAAGAAAAAGAAACGGATATATAAAATAACTGTCTTGAACATTTTTACAGGGTTTGTTTTTATATGTAAAAGAATCTTTTTTCTCTTTAAACTTTCTGAAGCACAATATGACAAAGGTTGACGAGGGAAACGAGGCAGTTGTTTCACAATGATGACATCACAATCACAGGAGGTCAAAGGTCAACAGAGGGAGGGGGAGAAGGTGAACGGGAGACGTATCAGTCACTGATGCTGTATGGATATGAACAGGTGAGAGGAGATTTCTCTGAGTTGAAAAGGGGACGTGGAGTTACATTTATGTCATTTGAATGTGGACTAACTCTTGAACAAGTTCAATTCAATCTGCAATTCAGATGGTTCAAGGTTTATTTATTATAAATGGATGATTTATTATTCATCTTCATGACTTTCTAACACAGGGGAAATAGACCACCACTCTGCTTCTTTATTCCGAGATGCAGCTCTGTGAGTCCTCACCTTTCTTTAAAGGGTCACTCCGCCAATATGACACAAGAAGGTCAGTTCACTTGTCAGAGTAGCAGTGCATGATGATGTCATCAAGCCCCTGGAGTTTTTATTGATTATGTAAAATTTACTGTGGAGCTGAACTCAACAGACCAGTTCTAACAGGTGCAATGTTTTATGTTGAGTCTTTATTTTCCTAGAATTCAAAGCAAATTCATCTTAAGATGCTAAAGAACCACACAGCTTTAGGTGTCTGTCTTCAGTCTGACTGTCAGGAGAAACTACAGGTGAAGTCTGAGTGAAAGATTTGGCTGTTTGCGTTCACATACACAGCTCCACCGGGAAATATCCTGAGTTTTTCAGGCGATTTCTGCAAGTGTGAAAGCCCTATAATAAGATTGTAGTCAAAGTCTGTTTCAATCTCTGTCAAACCAGCCCACAGGCCTTGTTTCAAAGAGGCGAGAATTGCATGAGGAGAAGAGTAGGATGCAGTGTTTTTGGTAGATATAACTAAAATATATCTCCCTGTGTTACTTTTTTATTACACCTTTGAGAAACATGCCACTCTTAAGTGAGTCAAATGTATTAAAACAATGAAATCTCTTGACTACCCTTGTTTATGTCTTTTCTTAAAGAGGACTACATTTACTGTGACGGAAAAAAAACAAAACAAAGAAAATATGAGATATGCTTTCAGCAACATGTTTGTATGACTTCATCTGTTGAAAATTAATAAAGATAACTGATCAGACCTGAAACAGTGCAGGCTACAATAGGCCACAGTATGGATTGATGTGCTACACAGACAGATGTTGTGCAGATGTTGTGTCTCAAAAGTATTTGAACAATAATGAACTTTTTTTAATTAGTTCATTGGCTTATGGAGCAGCGATCATATTAGCTTTAAAATACTTTTGAGGGACCAAAGATGAACAATATTAAACGGTTAATTTACCTGATTGGTACATAAATCTAGACTAATGTGAAAGGTTTATGACAAGAGACAACAGATCTATAACATATCTCTTCAATGTCCAGGCAATAGAAGTTACGCACTGTGATACATGGAGAAACTCCGGACGAGAGAGATGACAGTAGAGGACACACACTGAGTGAAAGTACAGTTATGTTACACCTACTTTACTTTATAGGCTGAAGAATTAGTGTATGAATACATTAACTAATAAATATGTGTATAGATGCTATTTTTTTCAGTAACTCCTCATATTGCAGATCTTTGTTTGAAAATAAAAAAATACAAAAGTAATCTGAGGACATGTGTATAAAGGTTCAGCTAAAAGTTCACGTCTTTGAGTCAATGTGAGAAACTGAGAGAATTGAAATGTATTCGCTAAGTTTCAGCCAATTCTGCACATGAACTTAGAAACTGTGCTTCTTTCACATCTACCATATATAATTATTTTATTTTATTGACTGTGATATGGATAATAATGGATGTACAGACAAAATGTTTGCCAGCACTGTTGGACTGCAGATGATTCTGTAGTTCTGACCTGTCCAGCAGAGGGAGACATTTACTAAATAATGACGACGTGAGAAGTTTCAGAATGTTTTTTTTTTTTTTCCAGCAACCGATTGTAAAGATTTTTTTCAGAGCTTTGTGCATGTGTTTATGTACTTGTGGTGAGCTTGCAAAGGTGTCTGCATGACGGGTGTGTGTGTGTGTGTGTGTGTGTGTGTGTGTGTGTGTGTGTGTGTGTGTGTGTGTGTGTGTATTAGTGTGTGTGTTCTGTTTGATAAAGATAGAAGATTAGAGAGAGAAAGAGAGAATCATGTTAAGAGTGTTTGTTCAGAAGTGCAGGTTTTGTTGATAATGCGTGTGCATATTGGGTCAGTATGTGATGGATGAACTGTCCCACACAAGCTTTCCCTTCTGCTTCCTCTTTTTCACCTCCTCTTTTTCCTCCACTTCATCTTCATCACTGTTGTCTGACTCAGCACTTGTCATTCCTCCCACACGTTCCTCCTCCTCCTCCTCTTCTTCCTCCTCCTCCGCCTCATGTTCGTCTTCTTTTACTTCTTCATCAAGCGCCTGAGCTCCTCGTACATTCTAGAATACAAACACATGATTCAATAAAAGACCACACAGATCCAGTTCCTCTTCTATCCTTCCCTGTCCTCCTGTCTTTAGACTGATTCACTTTTGGTGTACTAAAAGAATAAAAAACACAATAATTCTGATTGAAATGTCTTCAAACCTCCATGGGGTTGATGGTTATAGTGAGGGCAGAGTTGTTCCAGTCTTCCTCAGGATCTTTGATGCCCTCTTCATCTTCTCTGGACCCTTCCTGATGTGTGGCATGGATCCTGTAAACGCCAATCACTACAATCACCACCAGTGCGGCGATACAGACAACAATTACGACTGTGGCTGCTGGAGGGGCTGATCCTGGAGGAGAAGAAGAGGAAAAATAAAACATATTAACTTGTATTATTTTGTATTGTAGTTTGTTAACTTATGCCTGTTTTAGACTTTTTCAACTTATATAATATAATACAGCCATGGATGCAACAATGGAACAATCTCCAGTTATAAAAAGTTGCCTAGGATGGTGATTCAAAACAGGAAACAAATACATACAAAACTAGATCTCAGATATAATCATCCCCTGCTGTGTGGGATCAGAATACGAGTCTGAATATTGTGCAGTGAGAACATTGTAGTGAGTCTTAACTAGTGCTGCTCCATAAATCACAATCTCATCATAATCAAAATATGAGCATTCACAACAAACACATTGTTAAAGTCTTAATTCACTGCAATGAATATGTTTTTTTGTTTTTTTTTATGTAAGCAAGCAATGTTGCTAGCTCAATGTGTGTACATTTGAGCTGTTTGGTTGAAGGCCTGAGTATAATGGCCATGCTTTCACAATATTTTGATGCAGTCATATGAAGCTCATCTAGCTGTCAGCTACGCTTAGATTAGTTGACACCAATTAAGTGGTGATAAAAAAAAAACAACCTTTTGGATTATTTTTGATTCAGAAGGGACATGTTGCAACACAGGTATTGTGTAATACCTGAGAAACTGAGAATTATACTTAAAACACTCTTTAATATCGCACTTCATATCTGCATACTAATATCACAGATTTAAATCATACATCTCCAATTTAGTTTCATATTGTGCAGTCAGAGTTTTAAAACCTTACTAAGCACTAAGTAGATCTAATTGAGACACTAGTCTGCCCTATACCTACATCATGACATGTTGACCATAGGATTTGATGGGTACCTGACATGTGTGAGTTGAGAGTGTGTATCATGAGCGGGTGATGGACAGGTCTCAGGTACTGAGGTTGAGCAGCCATGTGATTGACATGTTCCACAGGTGCTGACCGGTGCAGAACGCTGACCTGCAGAGACAAGACACACGCCAATATAATCCTCAAGAGAAAGAAAGTCCAACAAGAAAAAAAAATAAAGAATGTGGTATAAATGATTAAAAAAAGTATAAAAAAGAAAGCGAACGAAGAGAAAAAGTGAGTAAGAGGAGGTGAAAGATGTCAAACTGACCTCCAAATTCAACTCGTTGCTTGTGTAACGTCCGTTGAGTTCGGAGCAGATGAGTCTAAATCTTCTGTTGCTCAGGGTGGCCGGACGCCAGTTCCTGTAGCGCAGCTGTCTGAGCGCCTGCTCATAGTGGACCATGGAGTCCACACCTTGTTACACAGGAAAAGTATGTTATACAAAAGCCTAAAATATGTCAACAGCACTGTGTGTTGGTTTGCAACTCTGATAGATTATGAGTCATTTTTAGAGACCTCTCCAGAGTGTGGATGTTAATCTTACTGTTGTAGGAAGCCTCAGTAACAGTCATCATCCCTCTGATCAGAGTGTTAGCACTTCCTACCGTATATAGATATTCCAGAGGTGGAGTTGGTGGCATCCAGGTGTTTTCCCAGTAAAGCACTGTGATGAATCTCCAGACTTTCTCTCTCAGGATTGAGCTCTTCCCCGATGACCAGCACATCGCAGTAGTCCAGGTTATGCATCACCTCCGTCACACCTGGTCTGCGGGCTGGGTACAACAAATTATAGGTGAAAAAAATAAATGTGTACCAATGTTTACTGCATAAAGAGTAAAAATAAATCCCCCCTTGGTTACAAAACTTCCACTCCGAATAAGATTTCTAGTTTAAGGGGAATTCCTAAAAAAAACTTGTTCCGTGATAAAGACTGAAACATTGCATGGCTGGTCTGACACGAGAGCATGATAGCAACACCCGTTCACTCACAGCCACCAAAGCTGTCTCCCTTCATCACTGTGCTGGTGATGTGAAGTTCCTTGAAGGGGGCCACACCCAGCGGGCCCCGCAGGTCACCAGCAGGCCTGACGAGTCGATTAGATCCTACGAGGGTGATTCTGGGTTCACTGGGTGGCAGGACCATGACTACTGACTTGATGTCTGGAATGGAGAGACATGTGTCGTCCCCGAAACACCTGACACACACACACACACACACACACACACACACACACACAAGAACAGCACACGTTTTACTGCTTGACTGCTGATATTGCATTGATAGTAGATAAGAAACATGAGCACAATACACTTTCCGATGTTAGATTCTGATTCAGATGTTGCTAAACCTGCCAGGATAGAGCATGCTCATGTCTCTGCTTTAAGGGATTTCAGTTGTATGAGGTGTGGTGCATGAATTCATCTTTACCCAGCACAGTGTGATCATCAAAACCACTTCCAAAATGAAGAGTGTTACAATTTTAATTTCCTTTTTATTCCCCTATTCACGACATTTGATGTCTTTGAAGTGTACTATGTTCCCATACCTGCTAATTCAGTTACTTAGCTACTAATTTTGATGGTTCTGGATAACGTAAATACTACTTTCTAGTTTCTAAACAAATTAATGATTAAATGTTTTACTGTGTGTTAAAACTTTCACGCTGTAATAATCATACATTAAAGGAAATGAGTTGCAGAAAACAAAAGTTCCCCGACCATTAGAAAATTATCCTCTTTATTTAACATCATCTCTCCCAAAGTTTGTCCTAAAAGAAATGGTCTTGTTCTAAGTCATGCAGAGAAAATGTTGATGAGAATGTTATTTAATGGACCCTGAAATTATTTTTTTTATACTCCCCTTTCTTGAAGAGTGAAATGCATACAGAGTAAATGTTGGTTATTTCGTCAAACACATTACTCGTAGTTAGTTATATTCTTTCCCCATCCTTTTAAAACACAAAACCCCTCTTTTCTATATTTCAAAAAGTTAACGATTTTCTTGAATATAAATCTGAAAGGTTTGATTCAAACTGAATCATCCTTTCTAAAAATGAGTCGTTATATAACATTTCAGAATAAAACAACCTTGCACTGTTAAGTTTAAACAAAATAAAATGTTGCAATAACGTGAAGAATCAGTTCAAAGTTTGAGCTGAGAGAAATACGACCTCCACTTTCACTCCAACAGGAATAAATGTCTCAAAGTAAAAATACCCATATTTAAAAGAAGTGAGTCAGATGTTGGTGTAACCTCTGTCTGATTAAATAACACTAACCCTGAATAAGACTGACGTGGTAATAATCACTGAACTCCTCCTTTAAAACAACGCAACACTAGAAGAGAAATGTTAAAAGCATCAACAATGTGTAAATGCACTAACTATTATCTTTTTTTGGGCTCCACAAGCAGCAGATTGAATTTATCTGCTGAGTGTTAAGGCGGATCTATCTGTCTTTATCTGGAGGGGGAGCGCTGAAGTGTTGTTCAGACAGCCTCCTCGAGCTCGCCTCACTTTATCGACCTGCGCACGTCTAAGCTGATCTGACCTGCCTGCTCGACAAATGAACAGACTCTGGCTGAGTGTGGAGACGGGAGCAGACACATTAAGTATACACATTCAGACACTCATGCATCGTACAAGTACACACTCTGCAAACTCACAAACACATTTACAAGTTTCACGAGGAACAAGGAACAGTTTAAGAGAGAGGAGAAGAAAGCAGAGGCAGACAAAGTTATCGGTTCCTCTTTATGCTATGAGATGAAGTTATGTCTGCCGGAGCCTGTTAGTCAATAATTATCTGTCTCTTACATGTTCATATTTCCTTTGTGTTAATGTGGCTGAAGGTAGCATTAGAGAAAGTATCAGGGGTCCCCAGAAAGATTAGCATTAATCCCTGAATATAAAAACAAATATAGAGGAAATCCAGCTGTTTCTAAAACAAGTTGGAGTGTTAATTTAATTTCATTGTAATTAGCTGTTCTAAATATATATTTAAATTTGGACTCCATCATCTATAAAATCTGGGATTATTGGGGAAATCAGACAAAGTCGTTACAAAATGATTAAAACCAGAGAAACTCACACAGAGGAATATGAGATGAAAATGAAAGAAAGAACTGACACCAAAGTGGACACAAGCGAGATGGTCTTTTGTTCATCATAAGACTTAATGTCCTCAATGGCCAGCTGCACTGAAGCTTCATTTACCATCTACTGGGCTAAAGTTGATGTTTTTTTTAGGTTGTATGCAAGCACTATTTTACATTCATGTTCCAGGGATACATATAGACCTCAAACTTACAACAATAATAACTCATTAATAGCTAAAAACATCTGCTGAATATGTAAAATACCAAATAACATCCTCACAAAACACAAATTATGCTGCTAAAAATGCACTGTGAAATAAAGTCACTCAGGTTTAATCTACTGAAGTCTCTTTAAATATGGAACAGCCACAGTTTGACCCAAAACAATCTGAAGCAGCAGATTCATAGTACACATCATTATATTTAGTTAAATTCATTTTTTTTTCCTTTTGTTTTCAGTTGGAAATTAATAATTATATTAAACAATGAAGATGGTGAAATGATATAAAACTGAAGTGTCTTGTCTGTTGTTTTATTTTCACCAGTTTGGATGAAACTATTAATGTTATTTTCTGTTGGAGAAGCTCATTTTTAAAGACTATTCTTCATCTTATAGCTGTTCATGTTATCGGCAGCTTCATTTACAGAGTAAACTTCAAGGTCTCTGATTCTAGTCAAAATATGACCAAAGCAGAAAATCTGGAAGTCTTATAAATTGGTAATAAATCAGAGAAAAAGTCCAATCCAAAAAAACAAAAACATCAACCAAGTCTATTAGCACTTACTGCACTGAGGTGGTGATGTGCACACGTCTGAGCCCCGGCGTGGGGAACTGGCGAGAGTTGATATAGGACACTTTGGTCATAGCTGTGTTGATGCTGTCCACATCCTCTCCCTCCACCACCAGCACAGACTGGGCTGGGTTAAAGTGGAACTGGAAACAAATACAAACAGTTCACATGGTCATATGAAAGTCTAGAGACACAAATTCAACACAAGATAAAATCGGAAAAAACCTTAGTGAGCCCACAACGGGGACATTTTCATTGTCAAACAGCAGCGAATGAACTACAAAAAAAAGAAACACATTGTGCCATAGTGCAAAAAAAAAGATCAACAGTCAAAGAGCAGCAACAGAATAGTTATTGTTGCATTTGAAGTTTTGCACATTTACAGAAAAACACAGTGCACGGTGAGTTGAATATGGTATGGCATATTGGAAGTTTCATATATTATTGCATTAAGTAAGACGTTTTTATTATATTAGTTATATTAAAACCCCATGGTATATTATTCCCCAAACTACTGGGTTATGTTGTACCTTAATGACTCAATTATTCATGTCTTAGCTTGAGTAGGAAATGTGAGCTAATGGCAAAGTGTAATTGGACTTTCTTTAATATCAGGGAACATGTGTTAGGACTAATTGGGAATATCACTTGAAAATCATCCCGTAAGTGATTTAAAATGAGATATATATTCTGCACAGAGCACATTTGCATATTTCTTTTATATCCTGGTTAACAGTTACTGATCAACTAACCAACCATTGAAAGTCTGTGTGTACATTTTGGCATTAAACAAACGCTGTCTGTCATTCTCCCCACAAACCTTGATGTCCTTAGCGAGGCTCTCCAGGGAGTTGATATCCAGACCTTCTTTGCACGCCTGCAAACAAGAGATAACCTTCTGGGTTTCGATGCGGCCCGGTCGGATTGTCAGACCTGACAGGCTGCCGTGAAAATACTGGGTGAACCTCGGGGTCGTGACCTCACCACCTAAAGGGAGAGAAGAAGAGAAGTGAGACGTGTGACGGTTTCATTCATACCTGCATTATTGTCTACTGGGCTGCTGCTACACCAGCTGGGGTTTTATTGACTGTAATGACCTTTTTCCTGCCTTTCGTTCTCCCTCTCTCAAGCTGATCCCTTTTCTTGATTTGCTCCAGCTCTCCTGAATGCCTGCTTTTGACCTTTGACCTTTTTTCAACCTCCTGTTAACTGAAATTGTTTAATTTTGTCAGGCTTTGGGGATCTAACCTGTTTTTGCAGAGCCTAAAGATACAACAAAATGCATTATGAATGTTTCTAAGGGAGAAGCACACACAGTTTGCTGAAAATAACATCGGAGAATTTGCTTCACAAAAAGCTTACACGACCCAACGGAAGGCTGGCAATGAAGAATTTAGAGGTTATTTTCCCACTTCCATGACAGAGGGAAGAGAAGAAACATTGAAACCACTCTGAACATCAGTTTAGACAGTGTCTAAATGTAACTGGATGTCTTGAAACTACGATTGTGTTGTCACAGCTGTATCACGTCTAGCAGCATTTTTATCAACATCATTGTTTGAAATCTAATTATAAAAAAAACACATTTTAAATAAGGGAGCAGGTGTTGTGCAATGTAGCTGAATAAAAACAAAAAGCCACCTAAGAATTACTACCATCACATAAATATGACTCAGTCTGCAACACACGCGCACGCACGCACGCACGCACACACACATAACATGATAAACTTCCACACCTGGCACCACTGTAGATATTTAGACACTTCCTGTCAGCTTTACGCATTGGATTTGATATATGACTCTGACGGATATAATATGTGCTTGACCTGAAAAGTTCTGCAGCTTCAACAGAGAGGGGGAAAAACATCCTTTCATGCAAAATAAATGGAACCTCTACTGTAACGCAGTTAGTGTGTGTGTCCGTGTGTGTGTGAGTGAATGCGTGAGAGAGAGAGTGTCCTATAAGAGCAGTGCATTGTGGGGTCAGCTCCATCACAAATTCAGCCAAACCCTGACATCCTCTTTAAAACATAGCACCAGATTTCCTGGAGAACGAGTCCAGTGTTTCAATGTTCACCACTTTTGATTAAAGTGCTAATACTCACCATATTGAATAGTCCTTATAGACAAACTTCATCCTGTGTGAGTATTTGTAGATAACATTAGGATGGAATGTATCTGAGATGCATTTTACTCTTTACTGATTCAGTCAAGGGCACATAGAAATAAGTCACAGAGGTGTCATTAAAGCTCCTGGAAAACACATTCTTTCATGCAATTGCACATTTTCATGATCCTTACAGTAGATGGATTGAAGATGTAATTTTGAAGTTCACATAGTGTGTTGTATTCAGGCTATTATATTATTGTGAACAGAAGCTACCAGCCAGTATAAGACTGAATGAATGAATTCTCACAGCTCTGGCAGTGTGGATCATGTAGAGGTGAAGACATAAAGAGTGAAAAGATGCTGGAGTGGTGACAACAAAGAGCATGCAAGGTACAAACTGTACAATGTACAAAAGGTGACTTTACAATTCAGTAATATCTTCCCGAACAGACACTTGCAGAATTCTTATTGTTTAACTTAACAGATAATTTTTCCCCTTCTTGATCACGACTAGAGCTACACAATAGTGAAGTGTGTGGTTAAGCTTAGTCATTAACTGATTACTGAAATACATTGGTTGCTCTTAAGTATTACAGAACTAAATCACATGCATATCAGTCAAAGTGGCAGCCCAAAGTAAGGATATGTCAGGAGGTGTGAGACTGCGCCTACTCAGGGCATCAAAGAAGTTACACTTGGGTGCGTTGGAACTGGAGAAAATTTAGTAAAATCTCAGAGAAGATACCTGCACATAAATACCACTGGGCAAAAAAAGCCAACAAAAGAGCACTGTACTGTAGCACCTTTATTTTTTAATTTCAGAGACTATTTTTGCATCTATCTCACTCTGTGGAGTTTTTTTGTGGCTTTTTAGCCCAGTTAAAATGTGCTGGGTATCTCCTCTGCAAATAGCCCAAATAAAGGAAAATCTACACCTTCTTTATATCGGTTTTGTCTTTGATGTTTGTGGTTTCCTGAAAAATCCTGTTGAAACACTATTTAAGTACTACTACTTTGTCGGTAAGATTGCAGCTGCTGTCTTGTGTCAAACGTGCACATATACAATAACAAAAGATGATTGCAAAGCTCTTTGGTTTCATTTAGACTAAAATAAAAACCCACTGTGTGTCAATCAGACACCGTGTGCTCCAAAGTGGCACAACAACAGATAGCATGAATAAAGAACAGTCTTATCATATGCAGTATTATTCTGGTTTTTTTTTATACTTGTCCATGCATTAGGTAGAGACATGGTAAAGTGAGTGTTTGTGATGACAATAGCTGTAAGAAGTAGCACGGTGAGAGAGAGAAAATAAATATCATTAAACTTTCTGTCTGAATTTAGAAAAAGTTGTCATTACGATGCCCTTTGGTCTCCTCCTTCATCTCTCTGACTAATGCATTGTTAAAGGATCTCTAGTCAAACAAAGTCTTTGTGATTCAGTGGCAAAGTGCAAACAAATATTTTTAGAGTGCCTGTGTAGTGGGTATATGTATTTTTACAGATCCATTAAAGAGTGACTTGAATAAAAGTACAGAAGAAGAGGAAGGGGAGAGGTCTCGTGTTGTCTGCAGATCTTAAATTAAGAAATGAACAAACAGGAAGCAAACCACAAAAAAAACTTTATATGCATAGTGCATTGTGGTATCCAATGTGAACGTCTTTTTCTCACTTAAATTTGTGCTTAAAGAATACTGAAGCAGCACATTCTGTTTAAGCTGCACATTAGTTAAAACTTACTGATGGTATGTGTCGACTGATGATGACTCTCATTATCTAAATAATATCACCTGAGGCTCTTTCTGCCTCCTCTGTGCTCCGTTTGTTAAGTATTTGTATACTGTGTGCTGTGAGGGTTGCTTTGAAAATGCACAACCACTTTCCTGATCCTGTTTTCCTGTTGCACAAAAATAAGATGGGAAAAAGATCGCTGTACATCAAAACTCGAGGAACAGCTGATGGCTGCAGAAAACTTCTAAAAAACAACGATCCCCAAGTGTTTTTTGTCTTATATGGTGACAACACATGTCTTCTTTTCTGCTCTCAGGGCAGTCAAAGTACAGTCTGAATGTCTTTCATTCCACATGTCGCATCATTATGTTGTTGATTGTGGTGAAAAAGAGGGGAAGGAGAAATGAGAGGCTGAAAGGCAATCTTGCTCACTAATGGCCTGCAAAGTTATCAGTTGCGGCTTAGTGAAGCTTAAAGCGGCTTCATTGGGATGTAATAGCTTGCAAACTTGTCCTCCATTCACTCTCACTAATCCCTCCTTCAGGGCTTTCTCTCACAATCACAGATTCATGGAAAGAGGCAGAAAGAGAGGCCTGTGTGATGCTAAGGAAGAAAATGATGACGACAAAAAGAAAATTTGCAATAGGGCACAGGATGAAAAGAAATTTAAACGGGAACCCAAATGTCCTCAGGAATGGAGCTTTGGATGATGCTGGCGGGTGTTATGATTTAGTCAAGCTGCAGAACGGATCACTCCTGCCTCATTCTGCCCTCCCATAAGGCACTTTTGTGTAATTATTCAAGTCATAAACATGGCAGCAGGGTAGCTCCTACTCATTCAAATGTGATCTCTAACCGCTCTTGTTCCCTGCCGCTGGAACTGACACACAGAATTCCGGTTTGATACCCACTTAGCTAGCTCCTCTCCATTTCAAAGAAAAATGCTTGTAGCCCCAGGGCATAAATCTTAATCTCTTTATTTATCTTAACACTACGACTTGTGCTTTACTCTCTCTCTCTCTCTCTCTCTCTCTGTGCTTCAAGTGTAATTTTCCACATCTTTTGAGGCTGCTGAGCCTCTTCGTTGATGCAGTTTGCCATATGTTGCTTTTGTCTATACTATATATGCGTGTGTATGTGTGTGTGTGTGTGTGTGTGTGTGTGTGTGTGTGTGTGTGTGTTACAAAAGTAGATTCAAATGACTGATTATTCAAACAAATTGTTGATGAGAAAAAAAGCTCCTCCCCTTAGAAATAAATCAATCGTGCAAATGAGTCCCTCATGAACAAAAGGTTACTTGTAACCTTGAATTGTGCATACACACATAACGTAAGGTAACACTTTTCAGAAAACAGCTTAAATGGTTTTCCTTATATTTTCCCTACATTCAGAAGCCACTCTTCCAAAATGAACATCCTGGGTGGGTGATTTATTTTACATATTTAAAATACATTTAAAATCATCGTTGTTAGACTAGCAGTTCAACGCTGCTCGCTGCCTTCAATGCGACATATTGCACAGCCTGACTTCATATTTTTCTCTCGTCTTAAATAGTGCAAAAGGGAGTTTTTTTTAAACAGGAATGTTCTAGAAAATTAACTTTGTACAGTGAACTGCTGACAGGAACAAAAAACAACACAAGCTTTTCTTTCATTAAAGCTTGTTTTTATTTTATATTAACAAAAATCTTTTACACTGACTAAAGCAGTCTCAACAGCCAGCCTGCATGTATAAACTGTAATAGAATAGGCTACACTGGTGGAAATGAAGTGGTAAAAAATGATGTACTGATGTTAGTCCCTTTGTTAAAAAATAGGTCTATAAATAACTGTTTGCATCATTTAATGCGGAGCAAATAAAAACCAGAACCTGAACCCTGCTGAAAAGTCTGCTGCATATAAAACAAGTGTCAGATTATAGTGTGGCTGTAAACAAGCCCAACACCAGAATGTAATTGCAGCGGTGTCCTTTTCCTGTCTGGTTTCAGCCCCTTTAATGCTTTGAAAGAATATCTGCATTGAAGCTACTCTGTATTTATAGACACACAAACACACACACACACATTCACTGACCTTGCCAGCAGGCGCCCACAGTCAGCTGCGTATCAATCTTTGCTGTGTGGATCGGCCAGTCATCCGTCACCAGGTAGGGCTCATAGGTCACACCGTCCACGAACAGAGTGACTGCAGGGAACTCAACGTTGATCACATAATAGTGCCATTCTTTGTCACAGATCTGTGAAGGGGAGAGCAGTTGATGCCATTAAGCCACAATACTTTCCTTAATGTGTCCACTTATTATGCATTCAACTGAGAAAATATTCCAGGCTCTCATATACATGGAAATAAGGCAGCTTTAAAAACACATTAGTGTCATAAATGCGTCCCTTTTTAAGAGTCTTATTTAGGTTGGGAGTGTGTTTTTTTTTCTTCCTGTGGAGGATTATGTTTATGTCATTATGAAGATGATGTTTACTGCAATCATGCAGCAGGGACCGAAGGCGAATCCTTGAACATTCTTCGCCGTTTCTACCTTCAATGACAGAGACGCAGCAAGTTCCTCTCTTCATCTCTGCATCATTTGCTCTCTGTCGTCAGATGGCTAATGAGGTTCCTGTCTAATGAGCTGTTCATTAAAGGCACACGATGAGTGACAAAACACAGCTATAGAGGACCCAGTCTCTTTGATTATTCCTGGAACTTGAAAGCACACATACTTTTCTCTCTTTCTCCCGGGCTCTCTACCAACACAAACACTCCCTCATGTTCCCCCACCATGCTCTCAACTAGCAAGTTAGAGAAATGTATGCTGCTTTGCCTAAAAAGGCTTGTGGGGGATTTGTTTTACTATTAATTGACCTACAGATTGTTTCTTTGATTTATAAACTATTGATCTATAAATGATCGCCTACACTGTGTCAGGTTCGCAGCACCTGAGGAAGCTGCAGGCGAAACGCGTTATTCACTCACAATAAAATGCAGTACAGTTATTTTCAGTGTGCCACGCAGTGTTAATTATTTTTCATGGCATGTTCCTGCAACCTAGCGCACCTGAGAGAACTGTGCACGGGGTACCCAGTTGTCCATTTAAACCGTGAATCATGTCAATAAGATTGGAAAGCAGCATTTGCCATGTGATTGACTGTTGACCAGCCAAAGGCTTAGAATAGTTTCTGCAGTACCCATTAATAAGATTAGCAGATGTAGATCATGGTGAAAGTAAGGGAGAAACTATTACAATTCAAGCATCCAGTGGAGACTGTTGATGTTATAGTTAAGATTCAATACGCTGTGAAGATGCGACGCAGAAAGAAGTCCTGTTTTCACGTGTTTGGCCCACCGGAGGATAAATGACATACTCAACACAGCATGGGATCCTGAAAGCAACAACACATCAGTCTGATAATACAGCACCTGTGCCACAGTGCCTGTTATCTCAACCACAGGAATGCATGAAAATATTCTGGACTCAAACTACAAGTTTACTTCCTTTAAAAGTAATAGCCAGAGTTTTAATGTCTTTAGCCCCTTGGTGAAGCCTTTAAGGATTTATAAGTCTTCACTTTATTGTTCCAGCTCTCATAGCCACAACATCTGTTTTTTTTCTCCTGTAATAAGTCTGGTGTGCAGGGTTCGGCTGAATGTGCTGTAAGTAATTTATTTGCACTGAAGAGGAGAAAATCTGCTTATTTGAAATGCACAGAGAACAGCAGGGAGGATACAACATTCAGATAGATTTTCATTTTTTGAGATTTCTCTCCAAGGCTCAGTGGCTGGCCACACACACACACACACAAACAAACACAGGCATACCGCACACACAAACAGGAGGTTTATTCAAGCTTTTATATGAACTAATGGGGTTGAGACCTGTGTTAGTGCAACTAGGAATCCCCTGGGATGTTCAATTTAGAGCAGGGAGTCTCACTTAGCATATGAGAGACAGAAATCCCCCCAGGAGCTCCCAGATACCCTTTGTACACAACACAATGTCTCTCACAAGATACCAGAATACGTATGGATAGTTACTATGCTTTTGCATTGATTGTGTACTGTGAACAGAAGTAAATTACAAACCTCACTATACAAATTTCTGACAGAATCATTTGGTTGTTGTTTCAGTCCTCCGGTGCTACATTAACATCTGACAACTCTCTTGGTTAAGTGTGAAGTTTTCCCTGCAATCCTTTCAGGCCACAATAATGCTGCTCAAATGAAAAATTGATATCATCATGTATAAAACAACAGTTTGCATCCACGCGAGCAGTTCTGTGAGGGCTGTGCCGACACTTGCTCCGACATCTCCCTTCATTTCTAATTCCATGACAGCAGCGAAGTGCAGTAACTGCTGTCATGGAGATAGTAAGTGATGTAATGACAAAGTGGATGCCAAAATCGATTGAGCTGCCCTTTTTTTTTTTATCAATTAGTCAAAGGTTTTTGATACTGTTGATGGCATTTTATGCCAGAGTTGTCAGAAATGGACCTGTAAGGTATGTTGGTTTGATGTCAATTTATCTCTACAATTAATGTTTGCAACTTAGTCTTTCCTCGCGCTTTCTTAATGTCACCAAATGTGTGCCACAAGGTTCATTTTGTTGACCCATCCTTCTTCTCTTTTGATGTGACACATGTATTGATGTGATATAGGTCTAAATGTTGATGTAAATGTACATCCTTGTGCAGATACCACTGTATATTGCAGGACAAGTGCTGTTGCCCTGACACGGACATCTGTACAGTGTAATCTGTATTTGACATAGTTAGGTTCCACCTGTCCATCCGCAGAACAGCTTTAAAGCAACAAAGTTGTTAGGAATGTGATTGATTTGGCAAGGGAATATGTGTATAACATTTAAGGCAACGTCATAGTGAATATTTCATATTTCAATCTTTACCAAAATCAGGAGCTCACACAAAGTCATTGGGAATATTCCTCTGAAGATCAATAACGTCGGCACAAATATTATTGTATCCATTCAGTACATGTTTAAATATTCATTAACATTATTGAAGTTGACGACTGACTGATGGACAGGCAAAGATAACTATAGAGCCACACAGCTCGCAGGGTAAAAGACTCTTTGGGAAATGAAAAAACAAACAAACTATAAAGCTTTCCATTAAAATAAACCATAAGAAAGATTATCATGGAGCCGGGGCGGTATGGAAATATGACAACAACAAAGTGAGTTACATTGTTTCTACCACACAGGGAGTCTGATTGTTTTTCCATTGATCTTTTATCTTGTTGTCCCTCATTGTCTCTGTGTTTGTGTCTTCTGACTGATAACTGGGGCTGGACCGAATAGCAGAAATAGATGACATGAACAAACAGTTTGCTCTATTTCTATATGCTCTTTTAGAAATGCATGCTGGGTGATTGCATGTTTAACACTATACCAGGAAGGCTTTTCTGTGCATGTCTATTAGATTATAATGTGTGATACTTGAAGAGATACGTCATATAATTTTATGATGTACACAATAACTTGTAAGTATTACACACATTGTTGGCGAAGATACAAGTCCTCTTGTTGGAGATTAAATTTATTGAGTGGCTTGCAGTGTAGTATTTATGTGCAGACACTGTGCCTGACTTCTGCCGTTAAAGCCCTGAATCCAGTCCAGAATCCAATTTGTTAACCATACTGATGGTGTGAACTTGACTAATCTAACCTCCACATTTACAAACGCACACACAGGCCAGCACATGGACACACACACATCATTAGTCCATACCATTAGCAGTACACTTAACATTTCGGAGGAGGAGGTCTAAAGGGACATCAGTCAGGGGGAATTTGAAAGTATTTCTCCTCTGCAACTAGACAATGAAACACTGTAATGAGCAGGTCCCCGAGCAGGCTGCAGGCCTGTTTACAATGAACTGAATCCCATAACAGTGAACGAGAGAGAAACAGCTGTAGCAATAGAGAGACTCTGAGACCATGTTCCTGCAAATAAACATGCATTTCAAAATACATGTTTTGCCCCTTCCATTTCCCTAAAATTGCTGTTTTCCAACACAATAAATGAAATATTTTGAAAACTAGTTCATGGAAGGACACATGATGTGCTAATATGGAGAATATGGATATTTGGTACAAGCACTTCCAAAGTATTTCTTCTTTATGGATACATAACAGTAATTAATGGAAGGAAAATCTTTGAAGCCAAAAAAGGTAAACATAACGTGCCTTCAGAGAAATGTGGAAAATGGCAACAGCAATTTACCTTTACAGCTGAATGCTACAGTTCACTGAAGGAGCACAATATTCAGCTATATCCACAAACTACGACTGACAGAATGAGCAGCTGCTTTTCAGAAAATGCCAAAAGGATTACTGAATTGAAAGATTTCAGCAGGTGAATCACAACAGCCTCTCCAGGGCGAGCAAACCCGCTTCCTGACTGATACTCAAATATTTAACCAACAACACTCCTACACAGAAGCCATAAACTGACCTTTTCTGAAGACTTTGTTGCACATTTAAGGCCATAACTCACAGCAGACACATTTGACTTGTCAGAGAAAAGCACAGGTATTACTTCTAACACCAAGACCCTGAGACTGAAAAAGGTAAAGGGAATTCAACATTTCATTCAACAATCATTTATTGAGTTCTATATAGCTGTACTTTTTTCTCCAACTTTGACTTGTTAACAAAGCTTTCTGTGAAATAGAAAACATGTGTAATTGCTGTATTTAAAAAAAATACTTTTTGAAAAACAGACAATTTGGCATTTAATCCAAAGAATAGCAATGGATTATTTATCTTTTGTTTTTGAAGTTTATTAAACTTCAAGTGAGCCAGATCCAGCATCTAGTGTTGATGTTGTGTGCATGCTGCTCACAATGGAACAGAGCCACCTTTACCAGAGTTTGTTAACCTGTGCTTTTACCGTTTTTACAGGTCAACAACGTCTGCTGTGAAAAGGTCAACTTTGAAGGAGAGGTGAGGAGTTTCCCTGAGGCATCCTCAAACTCCAAAAGTGCGAGGGCAAATGTTAACACAATTGATTCTTTTTTTTTTATCTTGGATAAAACACAAACAGAGAAGAGACAGCTGTGTACTTCCTCCACAGGGGAAAAGGCCATTCTGCAATGTTTTTACATTTTAATATTTCACATATAGAATCGTTTTTCCATCATTTTCCTCCAGACCTTACTGTGTTGCTCTCTTATTATATTCATTTATTAAAGTTTGTATTGACATGTCACTGGTCAGCTCC